CAAACAAAGAGGTTGGGCTGTTCACTTCATTGATTTGACTTCACTTTACTTAAGATTAAAGATAGGGGCCGGGCGGGCAGTGAAGGCTCATTTAGTAGACAGCGAGCGAGCTGCAAGCACCTACTCCTATCAAAATGAGAAGCAGCAAGCGGAACTTGAACTTGAAGAAGCGAGCCTCTATCAGAGAAAGCCATTGCGCGCTAGCCCCTTGTCTTGTATAGGGTGGAAAACCTGCGCACCCCTAAACTACAAGCTTTCTTTGAAGCCCCTACAACATGGGATATTTGAAGAATCCCCTTTCTACAAACCTTTCTATAATATAAGAGAAGCTCTTCGAGCTTTCTTCGCATGCTTGAGCGCATCCCCTTTCTATTAGTAAGGTTGTCAAATTTCCTTTAGTTCCTTTATGACTATAATATAAATAATAGGGGTAGGGGGGCGCTAACGAGCAAGAAAACGGATGCGCTAAGGCGCAACTTCGCGCAGCTGCTACGCCCTTGCTTCTTGCCTTATCTTTTACTAAGAAACTAATCTAAATAGAAGCCCTTCTTTCTCAAAGTAAACTTTCTCCCTTCTTGCTTTAGTGAAATAAGGGGCGCTAACGCGACCTTCCTTCAGCAGGCTTCGCCCTATCTATTCATCTATTTTCTCAAATGGATATTTAGGGATCTCTCTTGTTCATAGATCTTGAAACCAGATCAATATCCATTTCTCAATAGATCTATTTATCGATAGAAAGATATAGATCTCTATATGGATCTATCTCCATATCTAAATATGGAAGAACCGACACAACAAGGGCGTAACCAACGGAAGGTTCTCACCCTGTCCCCGACATTGTTCTCCGACGATGTCCCCTGGGCGAAAGGAGCCACCATTCTCTTTCTTTCTTCAATCGTTCCGATCAGGACAAGTGGTTCGTTTCGTCCTCCTATCTACGCAATTCTCTGTCTTCGTTCGTGATCATGTTGGGCGAAAGGTAGTTGTAGAGGAGCGGCTGTGAAACGGCGATTCCCCCCTTTCCATTGAAGTAGGGAGGGCCTCCTTCCCCACCATTCCGGCCTATTATTGATAGGGATTTTACCGATGCTGAAGATAGCTTGCTTACCAAGCCGCCCACTTGAGAAGCTAGTCGCCAGGAAAGAAGCGAGGAGGAAGCGAAGCTGTCTACGAAGCTTTGCTTCTCCCCCTGTAGTCGTAATACTCGGCTTGTCGCTACTTTGATTCAAAAGGTAACCGACGGTTCCCGACTTTCTCCGCTTTCCGCAACCGTAACCACTTGTCATTCCGATTACTTCATCCATAAACCTTTTTTTTATTTCAAAATAGCGATACGCTCTAAAAAAGTAAAGGAGAAGCTTCCATTCTAGAAGCTACCGCTTCCCGCCTCCCTCGGGGTGAGAAGTTCCCTTCCCTTTTCTAAAATGCCTGAGTGGTCTGCTCAGCAAACGTACAAAGTGGACCGCAGTTTGGCTGACCCTCTTCTTCCCATTCGGGTTGGGTTGACCCAGAAGTACAGTAAGAAGGAATGGAACCACTGGAGAGTCGTCTGCAGTTCACACTTGGGCAAAGACGACTGACTTTGGAAGCGGAACACGAACCTATTTCCGCTATTCCGGGTTCTTATTGAGCGTAGCGAAATCAAGGTTGATGATAAAGTCAGCGAAGTTTCCATGGTGTTCTACCTTTGCGTAGTCTCGGTCCACAGTGGAAGGCTCCGCACCTGAGCCTCGTTAGACTCAGCTGAAGTGTAAGGTGTAAGTGAAGAAAATAGAAGAGATGAAGTCCGTCCCTTAGCCTAGTCTATATCCACAGCTGACGCAACTCCGTACCGACGCCTCACTACTACTTTCATTTTTCTTTTATTTTTAAATTAATTAACGGCTAAGCGATTTCATAACCTGAGCTTTCCTTAACCAGCTGACCTTACTTCGTAACCTTAGCCTCCCTTTCTTTATAGTTTTCTAGTTCGACTAAGTGACTTCGTAACCTCAACGTACTTTTTTTCTTACTGTAGCATAGGCCTTCGCCACTTCAAACGGGCGCTTCGCCCCTCTTTTTTTTGAATTAGAAAGAGCGGGGTCTTACTTATTCAGGGGGGATGAAAGACAAATAAAGGGATCAGGGGGCTTTATGATCGGAGAAAGAGAAGGGGCGTGGTTGGTGTGTCACTGGGTCGGTGGGGGAACCCGTAGGAAGGGGGGACGACCCGCCGAATTCACATCAGAAATCGCCAACATGAAGACAAACGAAATCTTGAATTGCGTATAGAAACAAAACGAACCACTTCTATTCTCGGAGCTGAGGTATATGAAGAATGGCTTTTTGGTCCCTTTCGTCCAGTGGTTAGGACATCGTCTTTTCATGTCGAAGACACGGGTTCGATTCCCGTAAGGGATAGGTACTCATTCCCGGCCGCTTTCAGTTAGTGTTCATTGCTGAGTGATCGCTCGCTATCTGGCTGGAAAAGATGGTCCGGAAGCTTCCTCTCTCCCAGCAAGCAAGACGAGATCACCACTTCTCTCAGTAATGGACTTCCTTTACTTCGTAACCTTAGCCTTAGATGTCCTTTCATAGATTCTCGAACCTCCGACAGACAGAATCTCCATGCATGCGTTCTTTCTCTCCTCCCCTCAGCCATACATCCCTTTTTTTCTTTTGGCCGTTTTTGTTAGGCATTGAACCCCACCCCACGGAGCGGTGCTGAGTGGTGTCCTCCCCTCCCTAATACCTAAACAGAGTTCCGTCTATGGAGCCTAAAGCTTAAACCATGGCATGGCGCAGTAAGTTGGCCTAGTCTCTCGCCCAGCCTTCGCCTTCTTCAGTGGCCAAGTTGAAGCGTTCAACGTCGGCCTACCACCTTTTTTTTTCAAGGTTGAGCTTGTTCAATTGAAGCTAATGCTATGCTGCCCTTCCCTTGTTCAAGAGAAAGCGAGGACTTTCTTTTAGCTACCGGCCCAAACAAAAGAGATTAGCCTCTTGATCGATCGATTGATTGGATCGAAGTACGAAGGGGTTGATTGAAGTCTGAGATCAGCCCAAGACTAAGGCCGAGCAACTAGCTGCTGCAGGATTGGACGTCTATCTATCTCACCACGCTCCCCTACTCCTATAAAGGCCGGCGGAAGGAATGCTCTGCTCATCTTTCTTACGGCTCGTTACCGCAGCGCTCGTTCACCCCTTCGGCTTCTTCCATTCAAAAAAAAGGTAGTCTTTCCTTGGTAAATAGCGTCTTGAAGTGAAGCGAAGGCATTATTGAAGGAAAGAAATGGCGGGTCGGTCAATTGCATTAGGTAGGAGATGCAGGACCTGTCTTAACCGCAAGTGCATTCGCTATTCGATTCCATCCTAAATCCCACCAAATTTTGATTCCAAAGTGTGTATCTCTTCTTTACTTTTAAGTGACAAGGGGGTGACAAAGGGTATACTTTCTTCTCTATGTCGCCGTCTCATCAATGAGCGTAGATTAATAGCCAAGCCTACCCTTTTGTGCTTGTCAATCTGTATCCCATTCTTCAGGTATAGTTTTCTTTGATCACAGATCGACAGGTGATCCGTCCTTTCTCCCCCTTTCGTCATAAGGCGTGGTCTGACTCTGAGAAAAAAAATTCCTGTGTTTAGGTCCCTACTAAGCAGAATTCGTAAACTATGCAAAGGCTCTTTGAATACTTTTGAAAAAGTTTTTAGCAAAAAAAGCAAAAACAATTCTCAACGCCCTTACGAGGTAGTGATGAGTTAAACTACTCGTGTTGGCATGGAAGTCAGCCCGGTAAACTGATTCCATTCTGCTACTAGGGTTCCAAACCTTCCCCTGAGCTCTAGAATCTATAAATACCTTTTCAACTCAAGAAATGCTAAAGCTATTTAGAGTTGGTATTTCTAACTAAGTCGGAAGGAGGGCTTTGGGCAAAGAGCAACTCGAAAGTACTTTACTTCAGTCCCAGTACTGAAAGACGTGACTTCAGGAGTGGATTTCGGAAGGAAAGACTTCGTTTACTTCCTGCAAATTGCTTATGTAAGAACTAGTAGAAAGAAAGGAATTAAAAAAAAAAAAAAATAAGGCAGCATTGACATTGAATGAGAATGCTTGAATGGGAATCATCTTAGCAACTGACTATAGACATGAGTCTAAGCCGCCGGGAGAGGAGAGACCATTTTCATGAGAGAGGGACGAGCAAGTGACAGATTGGGAAAAAAAATAGGTAGGCCTTCTGAGCGGTCATTTAGGGGCCTCGTTAGCGACCCATCATTCTTCCCTAAGCTGTCAGAGTCCGATCGAAGCGAGCAAGAGATAGAGGAATCCTCGCTCATAGATGTGAATTGAAAAAGCAAGCCCGAATTCTTTTTAATTAGGCTCTATAGTCTGGTCCCTGTCCCTGGTAAGGTCTGATTGTTATCCGTAAGTCTTGTTTTGACCGCGGGAAGGTGAACTTTGCAAAAGTGCTTATTTGGTTGGGAAGAATAGGACTTCTGACTCCAAGCCTACCCTACCCGAAAAAAAGTTTCAGCTATTGATGTAGCCTCTTGTCGATACTACTAGTCTTCTCGCTACCTACTAGAAAAATCCCATCAAGATAGATTGAATCGACGACCTATACTTCAACTAAAGGCACAAGGGCGTAGCGAGCACAGAACAGAGGAAATGCACATGGGTCTCCTTGAAGAACGAAGTCTAGGGTAAAGAAAGAAGGGTAGAGTGGGCACACTTTTACTGTGCTTGGATTGGCATGGCTGTCCCCCTTTGCTGGTTGAGGCTCGGCCTTTGACTCCGCTTGCCTCTACTTTTCATGTCAAGCGTACAAGTCTAGTTTAGTGGGATTTACTTCTAAAGACAGGAATTCTTTTTCATCTCCCCTGTCAAAGTCGACGTCTTAACCTGACTTCCTGAGCTCAGTTGATTCTTGAAGCAGTAGCTCTGGATCGAGAGCTGGATGCTTACCTTATTATTATGAAAAGGAGAAAGAGCTCTTTTTATAGATGTTGAGGTGAGTAAGGGGGGGTTTGCTGGCTTGCTGGCTAGCTCGTGCAATCAAGGAAAAATGCCTTCGCCTTCTTTTTTCAAAATGAAAAAGTAAACTACCTTAGTAAGCTAGCTTTGGTTGCTAAGCAAGCCGGGCACTACGCTAGGACGTGGATCGATCATGACGAGAATGGACTTCTCCGTAATGTAATGTAAATGTAATAGAAGAGGCAGAGTCCAGTTCCCCTCCCTTCTCGACCAGACGAAGGAGATATGAATTCCATTTAGGCGGGTCAGGGCTTGGCTTGACCCTGTGTTCTCCCGGGTCGGAGGCGAGAACTTGAAAGTGAATCATTCAGTGGTGGGGTGTTCATAGAACAGAAGGCCTCGCCCAAGGAGTGGCAGATTTGGATGGAGTCTCGCTTTGATGCTGGGGAGATGAGATCCATAGATCTGGATAGAGTCTCGCTCATAGAGGAAGAGTACGCGCGCTAGCGCGCTACGGCTTACGTAGTTGATCGGATCAGATAGCCCTTCCTTCGGGCAAGCAACCAAACCCGGCACATCCAATTCTATTCCGATCAACAACTTGGAGGTATGGCTGAGTGGCTTAAGGCATTGGTTTGCTAAATCGACATACAAGAAGATTGTATCATGGGTTCGAATCCCATTTCCTCCGGTACGGAAATGAAAGGGGCGGGCGAAATTACGTGAGAGAAAGAACCTCTTGGTGGAGTCCAGTCCCCCGGAGGACAGAATAGCACTTCTTAGTGACTAGGAGCGGAGAGCCCGTTGCACCTTGTTTTTCTTTGACCGGCCTATCTTCTTTCTATAAGCAAGCTCCCTCCGGCCGTCCAGTCCCTGGACGGCTCTCGGTTCTTGAGCATGTTGGGGGATTAGGCGGCAGTTGAAAGAGCTGCTCGAAAGCTTGACGAACAAGCGAAAAAAGCCTATCTATTCTATTTTCTTAGTTTAGTAAAGGGCTTTTCCCTTACTAGTCAAGTGGTAAGGTAGGGCGCTATTCGATGAAGAAAACAGACTTTAGGAAAGTGGTTCAGGTAGCTCAGCTGGTTAGAGCAAAGGACTGAAAATCCTTGTGTCAGTGGTTCGAATCCACTTCTAAGCAGGCGAAAGGTCCAAACCGTAGCCGGGAGCGAGCCGGATTTAGAAATGAAAGTGAAAGAGTAAGCAATAAAATGTGAGCGCTCCTGCACTATACGGACGGCTTTTTGGCGGTAGGGTTGGGGTGGCTTGCTTGAGGCAGATTCAAAAAAAAGCGGTTGATTACTCGGATTGGTTCTCGCATCCCTGTGCCCAAAAGGATGGGCGAGTTCGGTTTGAGTGTTCATCGATCGGGTGGATCTATATGCTTCGGGGTGGTGAGACGAGGTGTAGCGCAGTCTGGTCAGCGCATCTGTTTTGGGTACAGAGGGCCATAGGTTCGAATCCTGTCACCTTGATGTGGTAGCCTTCTCCGTGGTCGGACAGTAAGGCAAACAGCGCAAAGCATAAAGTAAAGACATGATGCCTCGACTAAGTAAAGTGTTTTTGCCCCTTATCGGTAGTTCCGTAGCAGGTTGTTTCGTACGTTTTCTAGGATCAGATAGAAGCACCACCCCAGAATTGATCCTTCTTTTCTTCTTACTTTTACTAAGTCTGACTCTAGTTTCTCGTTCAACAAAAAGAAAAAGGAGTGTGATTCTTTTATTCCTAATATTTTTCATCTCTTTCTTTTTCTATTTTCTCCGGATCTACTTACTTTCTCGCTTAGATGTTCTTTTGGCTGATCTTTTCTCTTTTGTTTTGGTTTTGAGTGTGGGGGGAGGGCAAGGACTTCCTCTTCCGGGCCCTTCAAACTCCTCATCGGAAGATTTATTCGGGCTCCAGGTCCTGTCGGAGCCTTGGCCCCCGACTCACAATATAGCCTTGGAGTCATCGATGATAAATAGGATATTGGCAATGGAAAATACCAATAGCATTTTTTTGATGGATAAGGATAGGGGGTCTATTGGGCAGAAGTAAAACATTCACTCAACAATTGTTCCTCGCAAAAGGAATATAACCAATTGATCGAGTTCGAGAATAGGGATCTTCGGATCCGTGAGAAAAAGCATTCATGCTATTCTCTTTTTCAACAAATACTTACTTCACATCCTGCCTTGGCCGAAAATGCCGCCTACACCCCCCAAGAAGCCTTTTGTGACTTTTTGGATGAGAAACGAAGTGAACTTGACCAACAAGGCGGGAATGTATTAGTAAAGGACCAGAGAGAACTCTAATTTTTTAATCTACTGTCTCGCGATATACGAACACATGGCCAAAACTCAGCCTATATAAATAGAATACTCGGTGGATGATAATGAATTGGATTTGCACTGAGAAGTCCCTATGGCGCGGTTGAGGGCAGCTGAACGAAAGGAAAGCGGGTAGGCCGCCTGGGTGAGACAAAGCAGAATAATCTAACTGGAGGAGTGAAAGCCAGGATGGCTTGGTAAGCAAGCAATCCGTTATGTGGGCGCCAACTCCAAGTTCCCTCTCTTCTTTCTTTTTTTTGTCACGATCAAAATGAAAGGTTGTTCTCTGGGCCTGTCTTTTGCTCCCAGAGATGCTGGTTCGAGTCCAGCTCGTGAAAGAGTTTGTGAGTATACCTCGGGATGACTTTTTATCCACTACTCATCCTCGAAATCTAGTCTAGTTCAGCCATAGAGGACTTGATACTTATCTTCGACAAACCTCAAGCGGGACGAGTCAATAGCAGATGCGGATTTTATTTAATAGCTGCGCTTACGCCTTCAACCCCGAAAAGGTCGGATTCGTGCAAAAAAGTAACATCCGAGATTTGTGAACAGACCGGCTTGGGACAGAGAAATCCGGATGAATACCACAAGGGGGGGGCATAGGGCTGTGTGAACGCGGCTTTCACTAAGAGAAAGATGTGCCTACAATGAAACTGTTAGACCTTTGTTGATGCACATGAATTATCTTTCCAGCCGGTGAAGCTAAGAAAAGAAGCCCTTAGAAAGCAGAGCTAGACCCACACAAATGCTTAATCGAAAGCTCTGTCCTCCTTCCCCTCCTACCAGATCGAAAAGAAGAAGCTTGCTCTTCCGACCCAAAAGGCTTTTGCCGTGATATTACTTCCCCCTATTCGACGATTCACTCTTCCTGGACTTGCTTGACTCGTCCGAAAAAAGAGGGAAAGTGCTAAGACCGCTAATGCAGCTAGGGGAGTTTAAGGACTCATTTCCAAGGCTAGAAGCCTAGACTAGACTAGAAAGGAGATTGCTTTGGTCTTCAGTCAGCTCTACTAGATGCAGTTGCCCAGGAATCCAATGCACTAACTCCTGGAAGCTCCATTCATGCCCACCTACCGACCGAGGAAGACGCTACCGATCCCTGAATCGAGGGACTACGCGCTTTCAATCCCTTACAGCTGCCTTCCAAGCCCTTCCACTGCCCGAACTACCAATCGCCCCACTATCTGCTAGTCTGGTTCGACTCGAACTTCTGTCATGTCAAGCTTCCTGACCTGCTTTGTACCAGCCGGTATTTTGTGTACTTCGGGGCGCTGACTAGCCCTGCTCAACGCCCTACACCCTTCTCTTGAGCGCTTCATTGAGCATTTCTCTTTCCTATCCCGTCCTTACGCTACGCTATCCATAAGGTTGACCTAGCCCTCTCTTCTCTCTCTTTGTCCACGCGAAGATTCCATTCCTTTCCTTTCCTAGCCTATTCAATGTGGTCATGTATGTAATAGAATTCAATGGGAAGACCTCCTAGTTGGACCCAGACTGCGATGGTAGTGAATGTGGCCTCAGCTCCCACAAATGCAGGCTCCCAAAGCCTTAGACTGAGATAGTACCACAAAGCAGGGGTTAACATAAATGACTCTATGGAAGTCCTCTCCCACTTGAAAGCTAAATAAGGAGAAGAAGTGCCCCAAATCAATGCATTCCATTCTTAGCAGAGGTTCCTTCCATATAATCCCTCGAAGTACTTCGCTCACCTTCGAAGAGTGAAAGGATCATTCAAAGCAGACTAAAGGCATAGGGCAAAGGAGCTTAGAAGGGTGACGGAGGGGAGTAGTAAGGTATGAAATCACTTAGATAGAAGCATGTTGGATGACGGAACGATGACTTCATGCTTAAATTATAAATTAGAGATTTCTGACCTTGAGAAATGACGTAAGTGATAGATGGAATCGTTCAGTAGGCTAGTTTCCATTTTCGATTGAGAAAGCGGCGGGCCCAGTGAGCTCTCCAATAGTGCACCGAAACGGGGCCGGAGAGACGGTAAACCTTAGATCGGCTAAGATCGAATTGAACTGTCTTTGATTGAGCGAATCCTGCCCGATTTTGATTTCCGTCCCCGCGGGAGACATCGTAAATAGTTAAATGTTTGATTCCCCTATTGAATTAGGAATCGATTGAATGGGACTTGCCTATCCCTTATTCATATCCGATTTTTCTCTCTTTCTTTTTGATACTTGGTTGGCAGGGTCAGGGCCTTTCTCACTGGGCGAGCTAATCCGTATTATTCTATGTCAATGTGACCTTAACGGCCTTTATTTTAAGCAATTATTCGCTCCAAGACGCACGACAAGACCTTCGATCTCTCTCTCTCCATAATTGATATGGAAGTTGGAAAAAATCAACCACTCAAAGCTGACCTCAAAATGTTCCAAACACGCATAAGTGTGAAGATTGAAGACCTTCTTTTCTATATTTCATATAGTTGATTAGTACAAAAGAAAAGGGCACTGGTTCACGCATTACGGGTAGATTCCTCTTACCTAAGAAATGGAAGGGGGCACTTCACCGAATGATAGGTAAAGTATGGGACGTTCAGTAAACAATCCCTTAGCTCAAGTCCTCGGAGATACCCAAGGCAGCTCCCCGTGTCCTTTATACCCAACAGGACAAGAGTATACAGGTCCGCCAGGGGCGAATAAGAGCTCGTCGAACCGTCATTCTTTACTTCCGGGGTCAATCAATCGGTAGTCCTCCAATTTATTCTCGAAAGCCTGTTTATAAGAAATAGCTTATGCCACTCGTATTGCCCCGGATTGACAAAAGAGGCTTGGATTGGAGATTCTTGTGTAAACATTCAAGTTGACAATCGGCTTTCTAGACAGCCAGTGGACTCTGAAACCAATACCAATGATTTCGCTGGATCTAAGAATAACGTAGCACAGAAAACCGGACTCACCAAGGATGGCGAATGGGCAATACGTAGAGGTTGCTCCGCTTCCTATGGATTGTTTTATAGCGGTACGATTACGATGCTTGCTCCGAATGGAAGAGAGACGGCTTTCCTTTCGGATGTTGCAAACGCACAAACGAAACACCTTAGTCAGCGGAAGAAGTCACTCTCAATCCGATCTAGCAAGAAATGCTTTACCGGTAAAGTAAAGCGAGAGACAGTCGATCCTTTCTTAGGGTTCCAAGTAATTCAACCAGTGCCAAGAAAAGTATCCGGTTGTAGAGCGAGGCAGCAGAGGGGAGTTGGCACAATATGTAATCCCTAGGGTATCGGTGTCGGAGAAGGGGATCACTCAATGCTGCTACAGGCACTCATTAGTTCGGATTTGGTAGCGTGAAGGAGATAATAGAAGGACCCGCCGAAAGTAGTTCCGTCTTTCCAGGTCTTCCGGAGTAAAAATTTCCTCATCCAATAGCATTCTTAGTTAGTACCATTCAACTAAGCCTGTTTTTGACGAGTGAAGCGGCTAGGCTACATGCTTAGCCTAGTATTCCCGGATTGGTATTGGATAAGAAAGATTTTGCTTTCTTCCCACTCATGAAGAACAATAAAGTGAGGGGAGGGCTTCCGTGGAAAAAGGGTAAGTTTGGGATGAGAGGGTGAACACTAAAATAGTAGTCACCAAATTTTACTATTTTTTTTTTATGAAGGCGAATTGATAAGAAAAGGTACTTCCATGTGTATAAAAGCACAAGGGAAGGAGGCCCCTAGTCCAAGTATAATAGCATAGGGGGTGCAAGGGTGAAGATACTAGAGTGGTTTGGCACTCCTGGTCAGCTTTCTTTCGTTCGGGCTTTCTTTCTTCTGCCTTTACGCGAGCCAATTATGCGTGGCGCTGAAGAGGAAGGCGTCATTTACTGTACTACTATCGGCCATACAATGATGGCATTGTGGATCTCATTCGTATTCCAGTTTTTTTGGACAAAGTTAGAGTAGTCATTTAGGGAATAAGTCTTTTTTAATTATTCTATTAGCATAGCATTAAGTGGTAAACATTTTACACTTTTGGTTTTACCATACTATACATGCAAACATAACAAAGAAAACCAAACAAAGATAGTTAGCATAGATAGGAGTCTATCTCCAGTAGGCACCGGAGTAGATCTACACTAAAAAAAAAAAGAACACCAGACATGAAAACAAATGTCTCAAGACACTTATTGAAACCTTCTAAAACTAAAAAGAGTCGACGGACTCTTTTAGTTTTCTCGGGCACCAAGGAAGATTGCCTCCACGATCAGTGCCTGCTGCTCCTGGCGTAGTCCCTGGAGTCTTTCTTCTAGTTCCCTAATTCTTTGACGGCTTGCTTCCATTCGGGCTTCAATAGCAGCCGGGTTCACGGAGCGAAGATGCCTCAAGAAACCATTTAACATTATTCGAGTCTTTCGAAGAGAATTTTCTACATTTTGTATTTCAACGTTAATTTCAGCAAGTCGCTGGGGAATGTCGAGAATTTGAGCAGGGAGGGCCATGGCTTCTCGATATACACTGGTAGAAAATTTCTGTTTTTTGTTTTTTTTTGTAGAGCACGAAGGCTTATCGAGCCTCTTTTTATAGAGTGTATAGCAATTCTGCCAATGCAGTACGAATTGCATGGCTGGCACAATATGAGTACTATAACCACGCTGCCTGTATGAAAAAACAAACTTTGCAGAACCCTTTCACCTAATCGATCGTGGTGAAGTCAGCAATGGATTCGGCGGATCATACACCTTACGCTAGGATTTGGGAAGGACATTTACGAGACTGAGGTGAGTTTTAAGAGAAAGACGGGGGTGGATTTTTTTGCTCTAACTGGCTGTGAGCATGGGAATTGCGTTGCCGAGCAGAGGGCGGAGAGGAATTTGGTGTTGCAGGTTTGATGACTGTGAGAGGGGTTGAAAATTTATTGGTTTTTTTTAGCAGGTATATTGGTATGAATGAACATATTATAGATTATATAATGTAGAAGAGCCATACGGCACGAGCAGTTGAGTACAGTACTATCATGCCTTTGTTTTGTTGTGTGAAGAAAGTAAAAAACTTGCGAAGCACGCACCTCAATCACCCTGCCTGTGTGAATTGAACGAACTTAAAAGTACAACCAGCTTAAGCTGGTTTTCCACCTATTTTTTAGTGTTCGGCCATTTCTAGCAAAGTCTAAAGGACATATTCGTTGCCGATTTGGGGTTCTGATGGAAGATACTGCTGAGGTTATACACCAAGTACACACGTGATTCTGCTCTGGCAGAAGTGCACGCGCAATTCAGCTCTGGAAAAACTCCCTGAGGTCCAGAGAGAGATGAAGTTTATAGTCAACCTCTGCCTCTCAGATAGCTTTCTTTTCCAACACTTCTATGTGGAGATGGATGTAATATTAATATGATTGATAGTTTAAGTTTACTATTTGCAGTTTTCCAAAGTCTCAAATTTAGGGCTTGGTTCCGGCCTTGTTTCGTAGTGAATTTATGGATTTGAATACTTCTAACACTGAATTCTCTTTTGTAAATTCAACTTGACTTGTACCTGGAACAGAGAAAAAGGGTATCCAATTGAAATCCAGTTTTTTCTATTTTTCGCTTAGATGTGCTCGGCAGATGCTAAAGCCAGAGCGTGATGGCAAGAATTGATCGAGCGAAGAATCACAGTTCTCAGCTATCACATTCAGAAAGACTACTGGCCTAATTTCACTCAATTAAATAAACTATACCCTTACAAAACTTATTAGTACTCCTACACAGTTGTTCAATTTTAATGTCATTCTCAACTCTATCCCTGACTGGGTCTTTGATTTCAGGCCCTTTCGAGGAGGGTATCTTTTTGGTTAATATCAGCCCGGCTCGCATGGACTTCCGGTCTTTCTTAGTTGACAACTTTATTGCAATTTTAAGTTCTCTAGTTACTCCTGCACAAGCAACAGCAGTTATGGATCTGATTGAGGAGCGCTGGGAAGAATGGATCGGGGAGATGCCCTTGAAGATCACTTACCCAGCTCTGGAAGGACATGAGTGGAGAATTGTCACCGGATTTGATCCAAAAAACACAGGGCGGAGTTACCTTATTGGTGAGTCTTGGCCGGGTTAGTGTTTAAGGAAGAAAACCTTATTGTAGGTTCTTTTTTATTTAAATAGTGCCAAATTCAAAAATAAAAGGAAAAAGATGCTTGTACGCACATTAGATTTGCTAACTCAATTGATCCTACTGTGTCTAGATCAGGGTTCCCGCTTGTTAGCTTTGTATTGGCTCCCATCTTACTTAACGGGGCCCTTAGTTGAATACCGATCAAAATTGTTTGAAATTTTTAAACTTTTCCAATAAAGAATTATTAGTTATGTTAAATACCCCGAAAAGCCGAAACCTCTTATTCCGGTCCTTAGAAAAACTACGACTAGTCAGGAATTGCGTAAGAGAAGAGACGTCGTAAGTAACAATAGCGCAAAAGCAGGCGGCGGAGATCCGCAAAGGTAACCGGATGCCTGGGGCTTAGGACAAGGAGCGTCCGGAGTCTCTTAAGAAAGGACAAAGACTAATTAATATCATGTTTACACCGATCGGATTTCTAAAAGTCCTTCGCCCCTTATCTTCTCGTCTATCTTCTTTATCTTCTGATCGGATCGCCTGGCTTCTTTCAAGCCCTACTTGAATTGCTTTCTTCAAAAAAGCTTTCTTTATTAAGAGTCCTTTAAGAAGCTAAGCTCCTTCAGATAGTAAGATTCGCTTAACTTCATACCTCTAAGCGCTCGTGACTATCCGATGATAGTCACTTCGCTTTCCTTTTAGACTGAAAAAGGAAAACAGAAAGATTGAGCATAAAAAAAATATAGAGAATGAGCTATTACGTGCAAACAATGGAAATTCAATAATAAGAGTCTGATCTTCTCGCTTAAGAATATGCGATTCCTCCGGAGTGAAGTTGTTGGGGGGAAGAGAAGATGAGGAAGCTAGTTTAATTGAGGAAGCCACTTTCTTTAATGTATACTAGCTGGTCTACAAAAGCATGACGCATGACGCTTCTCCTTTTTTTAGTCCACTCTCCCTTAGAAAACGGAGCTGCTTGAAAGCAGATTTCGAAATTACATAGGTGAATGTAGAGATCACCGGTGTCCTACTCGAGACGAAGTACTTGTCGTCCCCAAACCAAAAGGGATGAGGGAAAAAGGCTCGAGAAAGCGTCCTTGGAAGGGGGAATATCTGAAAAAGTGTTAGCGGGGAGCCCATCCCTCTCGTTCTTACAGAAGACATAAGGGGGAATACACGACGGACGGAAAGCGGGGAAACATCCTTTTTCTGTCTTCTCTCCACAGAGGAAGGAAAGCACCGCCAAGCCAACAAGAAAGCAGAAACTGCATGAGGTAAGACTAAGGGCCTTGTGCGCCCTGCAAGAGATTACCGGGGGTCTCGGTACCAGGGGGGCGCGGGAACAAGAAACTCCAGTAAATAAAAGAAAGACAATAGGAGTCCTCTCAATAGCCGAGGGCCCACTTCCCTATATGCGCTTACGGAAGGGGAAAAGCTTGATTCTCATAGATTAGACAATACACATGTGCAAACAAGAAAATCAAACTATCTTCTTATTGATACTATATATTTATCCTTTCCCCTATAGATCCACCTTTCTTCAAAATAAAGATATAGCAACTAAAAGAAAGCTAAATCGAATCGGAATAGGATAAAGAACGCACGAAGGATCAGAGAGAAAGAGGATTCTAAAAGCGAAAAGCCTAGAAGACTAGATTGTCAGACTCGGAGGTAGCAGTAAGATCTCTGTCTCCAGAGAAGGCATGAGGGTTTTCTAAAAGTCTCCTCTCATTACTTATGGATAAAGCTCTTAAGCTTAAGCTTTTACGAACTGAAAGATCTTCCCATTCTAAATAAGAATGAGAGTCTTTCAACTAGATGTGCTCCTTTGGCTGGGTTTGAGAGAGAGAGCGTGAGATAGTTGGTCTAATAACTAGTCCAACTTCCTTGTATCTGAAAGCGATGACAGGATGTTAGGTCTAGTAAGGAGACTTTTTGGATAATTTACTTCCACGAATAGACTGTTAGGCTAAGAAGAATAGGTTGGGATTGATCCCACCTTTGAAAGAGTGGTTTTGTTCTGTCAATACAGCTTATCGAGTTATCAAGCTGAACTGCCTTCTGTAAGGAGCTTGAATCGTTCGTTTACTCTAAGTCTTATTACCGACGCGATGGATTGCTATTTGAAAACACTTTCAATACAAAAAGAGCTCCTTCCGGCTATACCTCTAGTTGGACAGTCTTAGTTCAGTTTGAGAAGTCAAGGAGGCACGAAGAGCTAACAAAGAGTCTTTATATTTGACTGTCCGAAATCAAGTGGGAGATTGAATTGAAAAGGCCCCTTACTATAGATAGGGTGTTAGCGCTGTTTTTTGAAATAAGGACGTTTAGGTTTGACTAATAAGATAGAAAGGGGCAAGCCAAAACCCACTCTGCTGAGTTCGGCTTTCGGGGCTACCTACTTTAAGGGCTTATGTAATATATAAAGAAGAACCCTCTTAGGCCTTTTTGTTTAAGGGCTGCTCGCCTTTTGAATAGAAGGAAGTGGGAGAGCAGAGGTTATTTCGGTAAACCGATGCATGAGCTGAGGCTCCCATGTCCCGCCGACCCTCCGAAAAAGTAAGGGCTCATAGGGAGTCAGAAGCAAGCAGAGTAAAAGGCGGGTAAAACTCACATAAGCAGAGGGGGAGACACATTCATGAAAAGCGAGAAGCCCTGCCGTGGGGGACTGACCAACTATGAATAGATCTTACTTATGCTTACGGGTAAGAACATATATTAGTCCGTATCGTGGGTCTATTTGTTACAAAAGGCGAACATCCCCTTTCCAAAACATTAACATAGGTCCTCAGGCAGACATCGAAAAGGGGGCGAAAAGAGTCTATTTACCTTTACAATATTTCGGAATGTATCATGGCTCTATCTATTCATTAAAAAAAAAAAAAAAAGAGTTCTGCATCTCGGGTGAACAAATAGGCGTGGGGAAGAGTGAGAGGGGGGGCTACGAGCCCTCTCTCGTTGTTGTTCCCGGACCACCCATCTCTTCCTTCCCCTTCGCCCGGCCCGGTGAGATCAGATTTCTAGAACGAAGTGAAGTGATAGGAAGAGAAGACTGCTGGCGGGAAATCCCTATTCATGAAAGCCCCTTGTAAAGGGGAAAACGAAAGTGTGCTCCTGCGCACCAGCTGAAGAAAGGAGCTTTGGAAGCTTACCTTATTATTATATTAAAAGGGGAAAGGGTGGAAAACCTATCTGACTAATAAGAAGAAAGGGGCAAGCCAAAACCTACTCCTAACAAGTTGCTGGATCGAAGTAGTACATTATACATCTGCCCGCCAGCAGCGGAGGGGGTTCGATTCCCGTTATACGCGATGTGGCGAAAAAGACTGATTCAACGAGATATGCCTTGCCTGCATTAAGATTTAAAACTTGTCGTCTACTTTCAGGAAATGTTTGGAACAGAGAACTTACAATAATACAACGCCGTATTCTCCGAAGATTGAGGAACAAGAAGAGATCTATTAAGAGAAAGATTTATTCTAGAGAAAATCTTAACAGTTACATCCAATCACAAACTACACGAAAGTTGTCCCTTTTTTATGGAGATTTACCCATCACAGAGATGCACAGAGGAAGAGAACGAACTTCATATATCCCTTTTCTACTCAATCCAGAAACAAGATCGGACGTTATCCCGGTTCGTCTCCATTTTTGTGAAACTATTCCTCAAGCAAGGCAGCCGATAAGTCATCGAAGGGTTTGTGTGAATAATGGAATGGTTAACATTACTCATTTTAAACTCTCCCACGGTGATATAATATCTTTTCAAGAAAATGATGCGAGAACCCGCGGTGAAGAAATAAAGAGATCCTTCTATATCGAAATCTCAGTTGAAAAAATAATAGGAAAATTCCTGGATCACCCGTGGAGAAGAACCAAAACAGAATGGTTCCGCCTACTCAAAACTAAGAGGGGATGCCGCCTACTACTAAAATCCCGGTTTTTGCAACAGTTGCGTTCTTCTATGCAAGAAGAAGACTTAGAAAGAACAAAGAAGTTTGGATCCGAAAAAGTATGCTTAGGCAGTTCTTTCGCTGAGCACAACAGAATGAAGAGGAATTTGTATCATTTCAAATCCCTATTCTTATCGAAGAGAAGGAACGAGAAAAACCGAAATATTCCTACTCGAACAAGAAGTCCTATAGTTTACAACTCTTCTTTATATAGTAATTCGACCTATTGCTCCGCATCCCCCCATCAGTTTACTAAAAAGATCAAAATAAAAAGGATCGAACTACCTACTCATTATTCGGAGGTGAATCATAGAACACCAAAAGCTGTGGTATCTTATGGACCTAACATAGGTCACATACCTCACGACATAAGATTGAAAGATCCAAACCTTCTTCTTCGGAGCGGAAAGGGACGTGGCCAAAACATATAAAGATCGGCGTAGTCGCTCATAGGGACATATCTATCCGGATAGAGGATAGTCTAGGCCGATTCATAGATAGATCTCTCTCCATATAGATAGGTATCTCCGTGGATAGAGATAAAGATAGGGATCCATCTAGATCTTGATTCACTATTTCCATATTTTTTCTTGATTCTGATTGATTGCCTTTTTTTTGACGACAAGTTTTAAATCTTAATGCAGGCAAGGAAACATCGTTTTTCAATTATTACTTGCTGGGTCGGAGCGTAGACGAGCGAGCAGAGCCAAGGAAAGAGGGAAGCCCGTCATAGAGCAGTCGACTAGAAGTAGAAGACTGCTGGCCTGAGAGAAGGCGGCCTCTCTCGGGAAAGATGGCCCAATTTCTCTTCTTTCTTTTTGATTTCAGCTTTCTTTTTTTTTTTTTCAGGGGTCCAGAAGGCTAAAAGGTGGGGGAGAAGGAAGCCGAACCTCTAATCGACCTGGACACATAAATAATTCTCGGCGTCGAGAGAGATTTGAGATTCCGTAAGTAACTCAGTGAGTGCTTTCTAAGAAGGGCTTGGAAGAAGAAAATGAAATAGGAACAACCGCGCTGGTCGTAATAGATCGACTTTCATGCTAGTTCTTGCTCCAGCATGAAAGTTCCATTTCAGGGAAGGACGACGTACTATGATACTTTCTGTTTTGTCGAGCCCTGCTTTGGTCTCTGGTTTGATGGTTGTACGTGCTAAAAATCCGGTACATTCCGTTTTGTTTCTCATCCCAGTCTTTCGCAACACTTCAGGTTTACTTCTTTTGTTAGGTCTCGACTTCTTCGCTATGATCTTCCCAGTAGTTTATATAGGAGCTATAGCCGTTTCATTCCTATTCGTTGTTATGATGTTCCATATTCAAATAGCGGAGATTCACGAAGAAGTATTGCGCTATTTACCTGTGAGTGGTATTATTGGACTGCTCTTTTGGTGGGAGATGTTCTTTATTTTAGATAATGAAAGCATTCCATTACTACCAACCCAAAGAAATACGACCTCTCTGAGATATACGGTTTATGCCGGAAAGGTACGAAGTTGGACTAATTTGGAAACATTGGGCAATTTACTTTATACCTACTATTTCGTCTGGTTTTTGGTTTCTAGTCTTATTTTATTAGTAGCCATGATTGGGGCTATAGTACTGACTATGCATAGGACTACTAAGGTGAAAAGACAGGATGTATTTCGACGAAATGCTCTGGATTCTAGGAGGACTATAATGAGGAGGACGACAGACCCACTCACGACAATAAGGAGAAGCAGTGGTTCGAATCCACATCGTGAGACCAGGACAGTGTGGAGAAGCATCGATAAATGCTATTAACATTGATGATACGGCTTAGAGGAATTCCTCTCTTGCTGCCGGACTGATTCCTTTCCTTTTGATGTGGACAAATGGGCATCCCTAGAATCAGCTGCTCTCCTTCCTGTTGGAGGAAGACAATGCGAAAAAATTAATATATTAGTAAGGCAAGGTGATTGTTCGTTGACAACATTGGGGCGTAGCGGATTGACTATTGGGATCTCTTTAGCTTTAGTATGACTATTACTATAGGCGCTGGAGTCAGCTTGTCTGAGTATGTAAACTATGTGGTGGATACGATAACAAATAAGCCTTCTACATCAGCCAATTCTTCTTCCATGAGGGACTTCAATGAAGCAAGATTTTTTGATTTCCCGTTCATCGTATCGACCGACCCAGACCCCGTACCTGTCCCCGATGAAAGTCAGGATGAAACCTGCTTTCATTCAAAACCAACTCACTCTAAGGAAAGGAGAGCTTTGCGAAAGTTTAAAAAGGAATTGAGTGAGCTCTCGCCTAAGAGAAGAGTTTAATAAAGCGGAGAGGGATTTTCCGACAACAAAAAAGCTTTTCTCCCCAACCGGGGTGATAGACCACCTTATGGCCGATGTGATTACCAGCCAAAGGGCAAAAAGACGGGGTTGAATGCGACTCTACCAATACCAATCTCCTCTGGAGCAAGGAAAAGCAACTCTGCCTGGTATCGGTAACGATTAACATATTCTTTTTTTTGAGAGAGGGGAACCCTTACTTAAGAACAGAGAGTGGCCGAGCAAAAAAGCAAGGCAAGGGATAAAGGAGAAGTACCCGGCCCGGCAAAGAAGGGTCTCCCATTAACAGGTTTTTCCTTAGTAAGCTAGCTTTGGTTGCTAAGCAAGCCAGGTTCTCTTTCACTCCTGGAATGAGCCTTTTGGCGACTCTCTCTCAACACAAAGAAAGAAGAGATGAAAGGATCTTCAAGTAGCCCTGACTAAGGTTTGAAAAGATTCCCGGGGGTACTACAGCTTGCGT